TGGCAAAAATGAAAATATTGGCCTAAATGCGCCTTCGAAATTGAAGAAGAAGGAAGGGATACCTCATGATGAGCAACAACAAATAAGCCCAATTGACACCGAGCAGTACGGCTGTTTGCATCACTGTAGTTTTCATGGGAACCAATTATTCAGTCTCGAAAGAATGTCACTTACCCGAAAACCTTATGAGACTCATCCATATGCTGCTATGACAGCTGGTCCGAAACCACTCCTCCACTGTCATTCTTTGTTGGGAATGGTTCAGAGGAATCTCTAGCGAAGTATCGTATTTGAATTGATCTTATCGTTGATTTTTTTCAGTTGTTTGATGGGTTTAGTGGCGACCTCACTCCTCGCTCAACGGAGAAATTTTGCGGAGGACTGGAAAATATTTGGGAAATTCCGCAAAAAGTGGTGGAAGTCAATGTGGAAGGGGATCGTACAAGAGGAGTTTATTTGGGGACAATAGTATTTCGCAAAAATTTCACCCTACAACAGGGCGTGCCCTAGCTAGGAATCGTATAAGCGCTTATGTCCAAGCATGCCCCATTCAGTGCCGACTGGCGTGGCACCAACCGTTTTCCATCTTGTGCCGACCTTTTGTCACTAGTTATCTGACTTCTCTAGCCATCTCTTGGCACCGCTAGAAGCAGGGGAGGTGTAGGCACAGACTTGCCTGATACATGCAAGCTTTGCCGATAGCAGGCGGCAATCTCTGCGTACCAGTCGGACTGAATCGTTGATTCGAGAGTGTGGGAAGTCGCATCCACATTGCGGTGGGAGTGGTGTCATGTTCGCAGCATTTACAGCAGGCCCTCCCTAACTGATTTAACTGGTAGACCTGCGGTATGTCGAGTCAGCTAGCTAAGAAATACTCTGCTAGTTCTGCGTGTCACCTCACTCTAGAGGAATTGAAAGATGTTGCGGCCCTGCTAACCATTCCAAATCACGAGTTGGGAACAGCTTCGCGTCAGCGTGGCGGTCCGAGCGATGTACGGCACGCTCTGGTATACCTGAATACGTGGTTGCCGGGATGTAGCTTTTAATCGATGAATTTCACCATACCCTCGAAATTGATCTTTTTTGGCTTCTTGACTATCAGGGGGGGCAAAAAAAGTCACTTCGACCGAGTCACATTAGCAAAGTTTTCGCTGCCCAGACAGAGGACGTGGATACGAGTACCAGGGCGGAAGATACCCAAGATGTTCCCTTGGTAACAGAGGCAGGCTCGTCGTCCTCACCTTATAGTACACCCAAGTAAGTCATCTCCAGTCGCAACCTGACTGGAGGAGACCTTCGGAATTTATGTCACCTTCAAGCAGCTGCGAAACTTCTAGTATGGAGTCACCCATGGATAGCTACCTGGAGACCAGTACTCTCGATCTGGATGATCTCCAACATCGAGCAGCTCCGACAACGTCGCCACGGTCTAGGACATCATCTTCACCGCAGTCGCCAAGGCGCGGGTTGATGGTAGGCCGGACACGTACCTAGAATGGGAAAACCGATATTTTCTTAGTGGACCACGGACTGAAGGTGAGCGCTGGCGGTTACATCAAGAAGAATATCCTCCCTACATGTCGTCGCCCGTACCATCTTGGAAACATTATACTGCTACAGGTTCGGGGCCACCACATGGAAGGGGCGTTGGAAAAACTCTCGCCTACTTGAAATGGAAGGGCGTTGAGTACCTGAAGAAGGTGGATATCTAAGTTTCTTGATGGGATGGCTAATATTCTCATTTTGTCAACTAACGCTAAATCGCCTTCCATTCCACTGGTTCTGGGCAGAGCTCATAGGGGTGGTCCACCAGTGGGGGGGAACATCAACTATCTCGCCGAACTCAGGCACCGAATCACGGTCGCGCGGCAGAATCTCTCGATGGCGCTCCTCCAGAAGGCTGTGGCGGAGTATCATAATAGTATTTAATATGCTGTTAATATGGTGGTAGAAATGTCCGATCAGAATTTAATAAAGTGTAACTTATAGCGCCTCGAAAGTCAAGGAAGAAAAGTGACTTTTTTGCCCCCCCCCTGTATGCTTTTCGTATGCCTCTCCTCACTGTGTTCCTCTCCTCCTGCTGGAATTCAGCTTGGAACTGAGGTGCTACGCTGTTTTTTTAGTTTCAAATTCTAACAATTACAGTCTTCTGATGACTACCGTCCCTATTCGGAACATTTTACGGAACACATCTATGACCTGATGGACAATCGCTATTGGAATAAGTCTGATGAGGAAGGTGCCACGATCTTTCAAGTGCAGACTCAGCTCGTTGCTCTGATGAAGTATGACCTTTTAGTGAAGTTGCGATTCAATTACTAGCGAAATGTTGTTACGCTCTTTTCCATATGAAATTTTGCAGGGCAACAGTAGAGAGATGTATATTGTTGAAGAAAATCAACGTCCCCGAACGACGGAAAGGAACGCGAGCGGCTGTGACAGGTATTTTTCTTTTCATAATTCTTCTCGTTACCTTGGTTGCGATTAGTGTTCCAACCGGGCTTATTGATCTATACTGGAATTATGGCTGCGCAGTTTAGAAGACCATTAGGGGTTTCCAAGGCGCTTTGCACACCGTTCAGTAGTCACGGCTTGCGCTGCGCGTAAGGCTGCGTTTATATTTCGGGAGCGTTTTGAGCGGCCAGATCACTATGGGTATCCTTCTGGAGTACGCCAGCGTTTTCAGCGACCTATACTGTCCCAGCTGCCTTACGCTGGTGTACGCTAGATTACTACCAATACTTTCCTAGTCGCTAACGCTGACGTATAGTAGGACCCAGCCTTAACTCCCACATAGTCAAGTTGGTCGTTCACGAGGCGCGTTCAATTTTGAAGCTTCCCTTTAGTAATGTAACGGAAGTAGTTTCAATATGTGTATAACCATTCGAAGCTGGACGTACCCACAGGTTTAATTGCTATCAATTTAAATTTCGTTATTTCTAGAACATTTGATCGCGGCATGCGTGTGCCGTACTACGCGACGAGACGAAGAGATAAGCCTCTCCGCGGTGCGCGATCTGTTGCTGCCGAAAATTGAGGAGAATCTGTCGGTCAGTAGTTATTCATTCTCGTGAGTGTTGCTCGTCTTCAGTACAGCTGCAGAATTCGTACGATGTGATTTTCAGGTGCAGGTGACTGAAGAAGAGCCTTTAACCTGCTCAGATGATGATCTAATAAATGTTTCTGACATCCGAATGGAAGATTTGATGGCTCTGCAGTCTGTGAGTATTTCCGCCGTTTCATCTCCCACTTCGCTACATTTTACTACTTCTTATTTGTCCGTCTTTTTTTTGAAGACTTAATGATGCGCTTTGTAGACTTCGGCCAGAGAGCGTTCTCGCCGGCATTCACTGACTGATAGACCTGGGAATTCAAGGACCTATTACCTAGACAAACCGTCATCTGTGAGTTCTACTTATTGTATTTTTCCAATTTGCGGGACCATATCTTTTCAGGTACCGCTTCTTCTTTTCGATCTGAAGTCGCTGTTGATTCGCCTGAGTGCCTTTGTGCTCGACAATCAGCACTATAGTGCAGACGACAAGAAAAGTTAGTGCTTATTTGATTTGCGTTTCCAATGTCCCATTTCTTTTTTATCTTTCTCCAATATTTCTTCGTCTACTTGTTTTGACTGTTAGCTTGGTAACTTGAAAAAATGCCTTCTCTAAAGTGAGTTTTACTAGGCAACCTCATTTCTGTGAACATTTTTTTCCAGAGCTTTGTCAAGTCGTGACTCGAACTATGCTGTCAGCGGTTTGTGTGAAGACAGTTCTCCGTCTATTGTTGCGAAGCTCGCAGTCCACGCTTGATGACATTGCCGCTGGCAAAAACACCCAAAAATACCTAACGGGGGTAAGCTTTCATAAAAGATTTTTAAGAAACATTATGCCATTTCCTGAAAGGTGAAACCTCTTCTAAGCATTCCTCAGCAGTAGAAAAGTAGCACTCTCACCAGGTGACGGTACAAGGGACAAAGACGCTAGTCTTTATTAATGACCCGGTGTTTCTCATGTTTCTGCCCACCATTCAAGGTATGAAAAAATACGACGCTTTCCTTTCCAGCGACCGAATACGACCTCCCGGCGAATGCCGTTTAGACGTGCTGATTTTTGGCTGCAAGCTCCTTTTTAAAGTGCCTAGGCCACCAAGTCACTGAAAACTTGTATATAGGGATAATCTGATATTCTGCTCCTAAATATGACATTCATTCCTGACGCTGGCGCTAACGGAGGACACTACGATTATCTTTTGGGTTCAGCTTTAGCAGAGGGCAGATAATCGTAGTGTTCTCCATTAGCGCCAGCGCCAAGAATGAATGTCATAGTCGTAATCAGGATGTTAGATTACCTCTATATACAAGTTTTCAGCGGATTTGGTGATTTAGGCACTTTAAAAATGAGCTCGCAGCCGAAAGTCAGCGCGTACAAACGGCATTAGCCCGACCTCCCTTACTGCGGATCCCCAATCTACTGCGTGCGTTTACGCATACGCAAGTTATGGTCCCTCCAGGCGCCATCGGCCAGCTATACGCTTGTCTATAGCCACATAGCTGGACGTATGGCGTGATCGTGGAGTGCGTATTGCAGCGCAGCTCGATTTGGTCAGGGTATTTTGTTGGCTTCATCGATCAACGACGATGCATGCAGTAGGCTTTAAAACTCTTGTAAATCTAATAAGTAGCACGAGCTTTCCTTATTCCTATTCCTTACTTTAGACAAAATCTTCAGGTGTCGCTACGCTCAGACGTATAGTAATAGGAACTAGCAAAAGAAACCAGCGAAATGCAAAATGCCCCTCCCTAAGCTGAACAGCGCCCGTATGGCGTGTCGAGTGGTGACGAGAGACATAAGGAGGGCGCTGTTTATCGACGGGGGGGGGCATTTTGTATTATAATTGCTTCCTGGTTCCGGTTTACAAATCTCACTCTGGTAAAACTTGTGAACGCTTGTGAAGCTGGAGCAAGATCGTCTAGCCACCATCCTAAAACGTGTCAACTCGAAAAAAGGGTACCTAGATGGGTTGGCAAATCTATGAAAAGCAGAATGCCCCCTCCCCCTCCCCGTCGATAAACAGCGCCCATAAGGAACGTCGAGTTAGCTGGAGCCTAGCTTCATTACTGCTGCGGACCTCCCCACTTCGTACCCGAAAATTATCCATCTCGTTTGATCGAACAGCGTCTTGTAAAATAAGTGTTGATAATGAGATATCATTAGTGTTTATGTCCCATGTTACCTTTGAACATGTTTCGTCGCTTCTGCAGCGTGAAGGGTCAGCTCAGAAGACTGTTCGGAGTCCCACTGTACGTTGACATCGCAATCATTTTATGACTCCTTTAGTCATAGAAGGTTAAAAGGACATATTTCTATAATCTAGTAAACACTTGAATGGTGCCTTGCAAAGGAGGGGATAACACAACCAAATTTGTTGACAGTGGAAAAATATTGAAGAGGGAAACCACTAGTACATGTTTCTGGAAGTTCTGTGGAAGCACAGGATGCCAATTTCTGGATGGAATGCTCGTAAATGTTTTCAGCCGTTCGCACAATTGCCTCGAATGGTTTGGAACCGTCTATCATCTAATGCTGCGTACCTGAGTAGTCTCCTAGAATTGATTCACCATGACGGCTGGCAGGTCAGTGGAATTTCACTTCGATTGTAGTGACCGACATCTCGACAAATTTTATTTACTTTCTTTCAGGAAGAAAAGTCATTTGGTGAGGCTTTTGAATGGGCTTTGGTTGATTTCGCGTGTTTCGTGATAGAGTTCTGGCAGCATGTCGGACTATTGAAGAGCAGTCCTGCATATGATTATAGCAACACTGGTCTCGAAGAAGCGCTGAGGAATCTAAATCTTGGTAAGTTACATCTTCGTAGATGTCCTACATAAATGTCTGTTGTAATGGAAGTTTATCAAAAAAGCATATCAAAAATGATTCTTTACTGGTGGTTCCGCCCGAAACATCACAACACAGGAAGATGAAACGAAACATTAAGTTGAGGTGAAGCGGCTTGGCAAGTGGTGTCACATGCACAGCTTTCGTAACAGCACCTAATTATTTAATAGGGACGTGATACAGTATGTCGAGTCAGTTAGATAGTTGTCTGGAGTATGTGAAGAAGCGAGGTAAAGAGATACAGAGCGGGCGAGATTTCAGACAACGAAGGGAGAGAGCAAGTGAAACCTTGGCAGCACATGCGTTGAAGGCGTGAAGCTGCTTTATAGAGACGCCGTCAGATTCAAATTCACAACCCCTTGCCATCCTCAACACACTTTAAAGGTACCCTTTCACGGCTGCGGGCCTACTCGTCATATAAGCGGAAGGATGGTGGTGGAAAAAGTGGTGCAAGATGAATCAGCCATTACAAACACACAAAGAGGAGGCTGTGTGGTAGGGTGATTCTTGCAGCTACCACCACTTCGCCTCTTTGATGAAGTGGCAACTGGTGGTAGTGCAGAGATGGACGGTGGGTCTGGGTCTTGAGGTATGGACGGTGAGATGCCAAGGGGAATTCAACGTGCTTGTGCCACTTCAGTGCCCTTCGGATCATACTTCTCCCCTTTATTCTCGGTAATGATGCTACTAGAAGAGACTGGTTCATCTATATGCACTTACCGATCCACTTTTGGCGCTTTTTTTACTTGAGTTGACGCGGCAGTTGGTCTGGTTTGTGTGCTCCTATCAGCTCTTATCAGTTCCAGTGCAAATGCAAATAATTTGTTTGTTGGAGCTGCGTAGGAATGTCCTTTAAGTGTCTGTAGTCCGGCAGAAGATTTGTTCCCATCGCTAGAGTTCTGGTGATGGCTTTTCTAAAACAGGCGCTGTGAATCCAATTTTCCTTCGGGTTTATGAAGGCCTCTGAATTCATGGTGGCTCGTGCAGCAAAGGCCTGCTTGGGCTAGTAAATGTTTATTATATAATTACTTAGAGAGCTTTGTGAGCGTGTGTGTTCCAATGATGTAAAACAAATAATGATGGGGATAAAGGTCAGTGATCGATTTGGACACAACATTTGTTTAAATAAATGGTGGAGTCTGCTCAAATATTTTCGCAGCCTCCCTCTGCCGCGGCGACCCGTCCGAGGCACGACCTGCGTGACCAGCAATTTCTTGAAAGTTACACCACAAAATACCCCACCAGCATGTAGTAATTAATGTTACCACCATTTCATTTATTGGGTGTCTGTTAATTGCTCACACTTGGCTCATCCCAGGAAGGGTTCAACTTGTTACCGTTCATCTTATGTTTTACTGTTACTCAGTGGGTTTGCTAGCCAGCGTCTTCGTTAAAGGCAGTTGGCACGATGATTTGGTACTCTGTCTGAAATGGTGGCAGTAGTGCCAAAAAAGGGAAAAAGGGCGAAAGCGAAGTGAAACCGTCAAAAACTCGCAAAAAGCCCTTGTTCTACACGGGCGCCATAGGGGTACTTTCCTTGGAGAGGCGCCACGCAGAGATTGCTCGCTGACCGCACGCAGGAATTGCTCGGCATGGCCGCCGATGCAGCGGGATTGCTCGCTGCGTGGCGCCCCTCCGCGGAGTACCCCTATGCCGCCCTTGTAGAACGAGGCTGAATTCAATTTTGTATTAGTCCTACACGTCTTAGAGATTCATCGTTCCAATGCTTTTAAAGAAAAGCGCTTGCGAAAGTAATAGTAATGCCTTCAGCAAATGTTGCGTAATGAATTCACGTGCAACCCAGTACAACCCTAAAGGAATACAGTGCTGATTTTTTTGCAAGAGAATGATCTCAATAAAAAAACCCTTCTAACGAATTGCCATAGAAAGATGGTTTTTGACAAAGCTCTACTTTAAGATCCGTCCAGTATCGTGCCGGAACAAGAACAAGTGGAAGCATGGATTCGGCATTTCTCTCCGTTTCTCATTTGGAATTACGACACGTCACGGAAGGTAAGGTGCTAAAGCTAGTTTTTATCATTCTTCCTACGGTTTTATCGAATTTGTATGACTGCCCCTTTTTGTATCATTTTTGCGGATTGTTTATGGAGTGAGCAAGATAACAAGTACACCCCGAAAACGTCAATAGTTTCGCTCCAAGCTCGTGAGATTTATTCAAAATGTACAATCATTTACAAACAATTTTAACGTTCCCGAGACGTTTAAGTTTCCAATTCACCTTCGGCAGACTCTTTTGATGAAATGACAGCCATCAGAATTATCAGTAGAATTATCAAGATGCAAACCATAACCTGGAAAACGCGTCTATAGGCAGACGTTTCGCAGTTTGCGTAGTAGTTCAAAATTAGTAACGTGGCCATTGCTAGATTTCGAAAGTGAATGCAAAATAAAGAAAATAGAAAAGATCGGAAAAATAGAAAGAAAAACGGAAAATTGTCAGATGAAGTGATTGCTGGCCAGTAATTCTCACCAAGTAAAGTGTGCATGTCCAAAATGCTACCCAGTACAGAGTCGAGTCGCAATAGTGTTCTTCAAACATGTGCTCTTCAAAATGCACATAAGGCTTGCTGCCATATACCCATATGCAACCTGAAAATCATCAATTTGACGCTCTTTGGCTTGGGAGGACGTTTTGCAATGTCGCTAGCTTTTTTCTAATCCATTCTCGTTGTGGTTGTCTCGTTTTGGCGAGACCTGTAAACTATTGTGAAGCTGCGGAAGCAGTTCACAGGTGTTCGAAAGGTGGCCTGTACTACAGGCTTTGCTGAGTACAATCTGTTACCCCCACCAAGTAGCGAATGGGTATCCACGAAAACATTCTGAACCAAACCTCCATATGCATTCATTTACTGCTCATCTATTCTTACAGCGCTTTGCTCCATTGCATCAGCTATCCTACGCAGAAGGTGGGGAGTCTTTAAGCAGGTGGGTCTCCAATCTAATGGCAACCTTTTGTGTCATAAGACCATTCCGCTTGTAGAGCCTGCCAGTCTATTCCCTATTCTTGTTAACTAATTCGCCGGATAAAAATTCGCCGGGAGACTCACTCGAACCTGCAAATAATTCGCACATCTCCCGTCATAGTTCATATTTCGAATTTCTCTCTGAATTTACGCTCAAACTTTGTTGATGTTTTACGTAAACGAGGTCTTGGTCATTAGTTCCACCGACAGGGGTAGTCATTTGCGACAAGGGCTGTGGGAGAAGCGTTGCAAGCGTACGCAGCATTTGCATCAGTACCTCATTGACTGGCGTTGGTATTTCTTGCGACCGTCGCCGCAAGTGGAGCTAACCCTTGAGCTGAAAAACGTATTCCGGTGATATATTGAAGGAAAGAGCAGAGCTTTCAGTTTAGTTGCGCGTTGCCTATAACCACGTTCAATACATGGCTGTTCATAAATTATTTCTCACACTGCTCGTTTAGGTAGGCTAAGGTTCAGACTTCGCGATGACGCGTGTCGACAAGCCACGACGCGTCACGATGCGCTACAACGCGCTGACATAACAGTAG